AAGAGGAAGGCAATGGAATGGCCAAGGCCAGGGGTACCAAGGCCAAGGGAGTCAAGGCCAGGGGTACCAAGGCCAAGGGAGTCAAGGCCAGGGGTGCCAAGGCCAAGGGAGTCAAGGCCAGGGGTACCAAGGCCAGGGCTATCAAGGCCGGGGGGATCAGGGAAGTTAGGGGTATGGAAGACCCCGCTTTGACTGGAGGACGGCCATCTGTCAACATTGTGACCAGCAAGGCCACACTATAAGGTTCTGTAATATAAGACGGGAAGACGAGAGAAGCGGGCTGATTTCCTCTACTATGGATGTGGATATCTACGATCAGTTTGGGGAGGCCATTGACAGAAGGCTTGGAGGAGTGAGGGCTGAAGCCCAACGAAGAGCGGCAGCGGGACCACCGCCCCCTGCCATGTTCAGGCTATGGCAGGAAAAGGAGGAACCACCGTTTGGGGTGGAAGAAGTGGGAAGTGATGAGCAAGTGACTCAAGGGCTACGAGGAGGAAGTGAGACGGAAGAGGCCATAATCATCGAGTCAGATGACGAGGATGAGGAGGAAAGAACGGAGTCTCTGTCTGTCTTATTTGAGAAGATGAAAGACTTGCTGGATAAGATGGGGAGGTACCAACAGAAGTTGGTGGACCTCTGTAAAGGAGTGAAAGGATGGAAGTCTAATGTCCCCACAATATTCCTCTATGACTCCGGCCCGGAGTCAGCGTTTGGGCGACCCAGAGTGAATGTGGTGGGGTTGTGCCCTCAACCAGGAATGAGAGGGAGACCCCTCACTCTGCAGGCCCGGCTGACACAGGCAGCGCGAACGAGGAATCGAGCCAAGGCCAGGACCAGCCAAGAGCCTCCAAGGGGGGAACACGAACCAGGGAGAAGGAAAGAGGCTGTGAAAGTAGAGGACGACGATGATGAAGAGGAAGAGGACGAGAGGCTGCGCAAGGAAAAGGATCAGAGAGCGGAGCAGCGGGCAAGGAAAAAGGGAGCCAGGGGAGAGGCCGAACCAGTCATACATGACGGACCGCCCAAAAAGAAGAAATACGAGGTCCGGTTGGAAGAAGGATTTGACGTAGAAAAGGTGATTGATCGGCTGTTGGAAGGGCATAATGACCTCATGACCCTRAAGGAAATCCTAGCGTCAGCCCCGCGACTCCGCGATGAACTGAAGGGGAGGTTATTACGGCGCCTGGTGCCCAATGTCCGCCTGGGTACGATCCTGCCCAAGGAGGCAGAGTGGGCAAAGTCAGGTACGAAGATGGACTGGAAGTGCGTAGCCTGTGGTATGGTGGATTTGATGGTGAAGGGTTCCAAGTGCGCAGCAATGATGGACACCGGGGCAGAGATGAACATTATTCGGGAGGCGGACGCGATCAGATTCGGGCTGGATATAGACCGTTCTGATTGCGGTATTCTGCATGGAGCCAGCTGTAAGGCCATGTTTTGCGGGACAGCCTCGAATGTGCTCGTCGAGGTTGGAAAGGTGAAGGCCAGGGCATGCTTCTTCATAATGCCAGACGTGGACCATGGAATCCTCCTGGGGAGGTCATTCCTAAGCAGGACAGAGACCGTGATGTTCAACAAACATGATGGGACGTTGATCCTCCTCTTATGCGATCCTGCCTGCGAAAATTATGAATAATTACTTGCAGGAACACCGGGCCAAGGAGTATAAGGAACCGACCCAATCCAAGATCATTCACAATCGAGGAGTCGGAAGGGGAGCGCAGGAGGCTCTGGGCAGAGCCCGAAGCAAGAGAGGGGGTGGAAGCATTTTCCCTCAGCCTGTCAGATGTTGGGAAGGCCATGGACCTGATGGCCGCGCATGAGATGGCAGATCCGGATGCCATCCAGGCCTTGAGGGAACAAGTTCTGGAATGCCCTGAGGCAGGAAGGTTGGAATTGGTATATCGGATCCCAGGCAGTGGAGGGAACCCCGCATCAGCGCAAACACAATCTGTGAGTCGGCCTTTTTTAGGGGACGGCTCAAGCAGGGTTCCCAAAGGCGGTACAAGACGGTAGATAAGAAGTGCTGCCCAGTACCCGTCCTCGTTACAGAGGACGAGGAAGCATATCACGAGAGGGAACGAGGGTTGATTCGACGAATGAGGGAAAGTGCTTTAGCAGGGCCATGTCGTATCAACAAAGGGAACGAGAAGGAGTTGATCATAGGGGAATCTGATTTCCTGCTGCCTCAGGAGCGAACGTTGATGGTGGGATTAATGAAGAGGAAGCATCGCGCCTACGCGTTTAGTGACGAGGAGCGTGGCAGGCTGGATGTAGACAAGATACCTATGATCCGCATCCACACCGTGCCACACGAGCCTTGGAACATGAGAGGGGCGCGATATCCCAATCCTGACAAGGAAAGGAAGGTGGTGGATTATCTCGACGGCAAGATACGTACTCACGTCGCCGATTATTCAAGTGGACCGTATGCGTCCCCGTGGTTCTGCTTCATTAAGCCTAACGGAACGCTGCGGTGGGTGCAGGATTTGCAGAGATTGAATGCAGTGACCGTGCAAGATGCTGGAGGACTGCCGAATGCAGACGCGCTGTCAGAATCCTGTGCTGGAAGGCCTATAATTTCGCTTATAGATCTTTACTCAGGATACGATMAGTTCCCAGTCTACCCGCCGGATAGGCCGGTGACAGCTATGCACACACCGCGAGGATTAGTCCACATGAACGTGGCCCCACAAGGGTGGACCAACGCAGTAGCAATGGTCCAACGAGCCATGATTCGGGCCATGCAGTCAATCAACCCCCATATCACACAGCCATACATTGACGATTTGGCAGTGAAGGGGCCGGCGACGAAAGAGAGCGACGAAGTCTCACCAGGGGTAAGGCGCTTTGTCTGGAAGCACATTCAGGACCTCGAAAAGGTCCTCAGCCTGCTCGAAGAGCATAACCTCACGGCAAGCGGGGCCAAATCCAGACACTGCATGAGGGAAGCGACTATCTTGGGGATAGTCTGCAATGAGAAGGGTCGAAGGCCGGATGTGAAGAAGATGGACAAGATTACTGAGTGGCCAGTTCCGTTCCACTCAATAACTGATGTCAGGAGCTTCCTTGGTACGTGTGGATTTTGGAGGGCCTTCGTCAAGAACTTTGCCGCTAAG